CCCCAAAACCCCAAAACCCCAAAACCCCTTGAAGGGATATTGTGAATGAATTCGGTTATATTTAAGCACCTTGATTTTTGGATAAATAAAGATAGAAAATCTCAATCCTCCATAAAAGACCTAAACCCGTCTATCTAGGACACCCTCAAAACATATTTCCCACACTCTAAACCCCTATTTCCCCTCAAACTCGTCTTCTCTCATCCCTTCCATTTGATTTCTCCCCTTAACCCTCTCTCCCCTCTTCCTCTCCCAAAATCCACTTATCCACTAAATTACCCATCCCAACTCCTTAACCCCTACTATCAATCAGAGGCTCTTCCAGTCACTCTGGTCACCCCTAGCCCTTCCTTCTTCAAGAGCTTTGAGCCTAAGATCTCTGCTGCGAGAGTTCAGACAAGGAAATTAGTCAGACCAGTGGATTGGAGCCAGTCAAGAAGGAAGCGCTGCTTGGAGTTATGTGTGAATAAAGTTGAGATTTAGGGATGGGGCTCAGAAGAACTGAAGAAAGAGACCCTTGCTTGTTCGATCAGTAATACTTATAGTACTACAACTCCTCTTTGGTAAGCTAAGGTTGCCCATGCACCCTGTATTTAGAAAGGATGTACTGAATAGATGTAGAGAGAAGGAACAGAATAGGTCCTGGCAGAAAAAGTATTTACGTCTTTTTGGTATTTTAGTCTAGTTCTTTCATGGATAATTCAAGGAGTTCAGGCTAGTCTCAGATTTATGCAAAAGAGATTGCAAAGTCTCTTGGCTCACAAAAGAACTACAGTTCATGCTAATAAGGTTTGAATAAGAGTTTTGGGTATTTATAAGCTGACTAATACAGGTTTAAGGTACCGAAATTCTTCTTGCTATGACAAGGGTTGTACCTAGTGTGCTGCCTATTTTTAGCCCGGTTTCTTGGATTATTTCGTCGATATCGAGGTCAATACATTCTCAAGGGATGTTTACAGAGTCCTTTATTTTAGTACTTTAATTTACTCTGAAGAACTTGTGCATACAGAATTATATTAAGTAATAATACGTTTTAAAGTACCTTCTGAAGGTTTAACTTTTATCATTAAAGAACGAACACGCTGGGATAAGTTATTATCTCTCTTAGTTGTTCCCTTTTTCTTCTCTGATTTTCTTTCTATAAAAGTAAGGTTTAAATGGGTCTGTGAAGAGTCAATATGCAATTTGTGGTAATATGATCATATAGTAAATCAAGGCAGTGATTCCTTCGAAATAATTAAGTGTATCATTATCATTAATAATTGGTCTTTATAGTTGAGAAGCTACTAGTTTGAGTTTACTAGGACTCACCGTTGCTCTCTTCAGGAACTTCATCAGGAGTCTTATTGACTCCCAGGTTCTTTATGGTATATTTCCCGATTGTTGGGATTAATCTCATGATATCTTATTTAGTTGTGAGTCCATTGGCTTAAACCGAGTTGGCAGATTTGTACTGAGACTTGATCTTAGTGATGTGCTGTACGATTTGGGTGTTTTCGTGAATTTAGATGTTATCTTTTTGATGTTCTTAATGTTGTTTTGTTTAGTAAAGTAAAAAATGCAAAGGTTAGTAGAAGGAAAGACTAGAGAATGAAAAAAGAGTAGAATAGAGGATAAGATAGAGATTAATGAAACTTAGCACTCATAGTTCGAAACTAAATACACATTTACTTCTATTTAAATTATATAAGTTTAACTCAACCTTCCCACCCCCCAAAGGGGTTTTGGGGTTTTGGGGTTTTGGGGTTTTGGGG